GTTCTGACAAGGCAATAAAATTGCGTCCATATGTCACATTGCTCTGCTGTTTACAATAAAACCAGACGTGAAGCAAGTGAAACCACAATAATCGTCAGTAATCAGAGGCATGTGATAATATCATACAGTAATAAGGAACATAAAACACCACAAACACATTCCCTCCCAATTTGTCCTGCCTTACTTCCAATAGCAGCGATTTTAGAAGATTCGCCTTTCGTTCAATGACACGAATACTGACTACTGGTACATACGGTTATTATCTGTTTTTACTTGTCTTTTTCATTTTATCGTTTCTTTAGAAATATAAATGACTGCACCTGTGACACTACAAGCACAATAAAAACAAACTATTGACTTCTGCATCTCATGAGGAAGTCTTTATGCCATACATACGAAGACTCGATAATAAACGAATAAAAAAATGATATGGTTGTTTGACTTTCTTCAATAAGCGTTGCTTCCATATTTTTTTTTTTTTTGCACATTTTTTTTTAATTAATTATAAATGTCATAAAGTTATTATACTTTAACTACCATATCTACAATTGCACAAAGTGATGCCCATTAATAAAACATTAGGCGAAATAATCCTAAATGTTTTATGCCAATAAAACAGCCGTGAAAAGTTTTTTCTAAGGGCCCGTTAATCAAGGAGCCAGATTGAAATAGTTGTTCAGTAACACTTTACAACAAGTTTTCAAATGTTGTATTAATATGTAATGGACCTCAGCTATACCAGCTTATGTTATCAAAGATTATGTAACTAACAGGACCTTATTGTAAAGTGTTATTAAGCGTGAACTTTTCCAGACGAATACTACAATATCTCAAGATTATGATTTGGGGCATTTTGAACGAACTGCCAACACAAGTGGACATCAGTATCGATCACAAATGGAGATTCACAAACATTGTAAGGCCATGAGGGGGAGAGGTCTGAAGGAAACGTTCACAGTTGGTAGCCAAAAAACAATGTGTTTTATATATATATACACTGCCGGCTGGGCCGTTTGAGTTTGTGATTGGATCATCATTGCAGTGGTTATTATGTTTTTAGCATATTATATGTTTGGAACAGAGTTTCTGCTTGAAAAAAAAATGGTGAGGTTTTGTTTTATGGACATTTTGATGATATGGTGGTCAAATATCACCTCTTAAAGGAGTAGTTCACTTTTCAAAAAACTTTTGCTGATAATTTACTCACCCCCATGTCATCCAAGATGGCCACGTCTTTCTTTCTTCAGTCGAAAAGAAATTAAGGTTTTTGCTGAAAACATTCCAGGATTTTCTCCATATAATGGACTTCAATGGGGTCCAAATGGTTCAAGGTCCAAAAGACAGTTTCAGTGCAAACTGCAAACTGTTCAAAGGGCTTTAAACGATCCCAGATCAAGCGAAACGATCGCTCATTTAAAAAAACAAAACCAAAGTTTAAGTTTTATAAGCTCAAATGCTCGCCTCGCTCTGTTCTGTGATGCGCGTTCATGACTCTCCTGTTCAAACTTTTTCATTAAATGAACGAATCTTTTTCAGAGTCAATTTGTTCGTTTCGTTCGTTGAATGAACCAAATGATTCGTTCATTTTTGTTCGAACAGGAGAGTCACAAACTACGTCACAGAACAGAGCAAGGCGAACATTTGAGCTTATTGAACTTAAACTTTGTTATTTATTTATTAAATGAGCGATCGTTTCGCTTGATAAGACCCTTATTCATCGTCTGAACTCGTTTGAAGCTGCACTGAAATGGTTGTTTGGACCTTGAACCGTTTGGTTCCCACTGAAGTCCATTATGGAGAAAATCCTGGAATGTTTTCATCAAAAACCTTAATTTCTTTTCGACTGAAGAAAGAAAGACACGGACATCTTGGATGACATGGGGGTGAGTAAATTATCAGCAAAAGTTTTTTTCAAAAGTGAACTACTCCTTTAATGAGCCTGCCTCCAGTTTTCCTTAACTTGACTATATAACTTAAAAAAAATGACATAACCAGACCGTATAGAATGCAACATGTTATTATTAGCCTAAATTTCAAATATACAAAAAACATGAACGTCCGATTGGCGTCAAGCAACACCAATTGTTTTTTACTATGGCTTCACTTTTTGAAACATTGAGGAAAAAAACCTCCAGTTAACTAGTAGATTATCCATTTAATTCGCATTTAAATAAGAGATCTAGCGCTAAAACCTGTTGTTTTTGAAATCAAGCATGGCGCTCGTGTCCGCTGCTATCAGTTGCAAGGGCGACGCGCTGCGCGGGTTGCGCAATCTTCACTCGGACGCACGCGCGTTTCAATCTAGACTCTCGATTCATTCTGGTGAAATCACAAAATAAAATGTACACGAATGCGTCCCTGCTTGATATAGTCTGTAACCACTGATGAACAAAAAAAATATATTTTCAAGATTTGTTATCACAGCATTTTTTCTTTTGTCAAATCAACTTAAATAATTTTATTTAGTTGAGATAACTTACTATTTTGAGTTTCCGATGATTAAATTAATCTCCTTCATTGTATTAACTCACCTTTTCCAGTTCAATCAACTTAAAATTTTAAGGCAACCAGGTTACTTACTTTTTTTAAGTTAAACCATCAATATTTTTTTACAGTGTACGTAGCCTGTAGCCTACGAGTGCGCGGATTAGTACCACTAATGAAATGTTCCCAATTCACCATCGTCCGTCGCGTCTGGCCTCTGATAAAGCTTTTAAAGCTAGCCTGGCCATATCTGAAACATCTCACTCAATCGTTTGCTGTTTCGCTCTATATTACAGCCGTTTTAGGCGTTTAATAACTTTCAAACGGTAGAGGCTGTTCCTTTATAACAACATCATCGGCCAAAGGTCGGTGTATTTTTGCTTTATATTTTAGGCTCATTCTCAAATTCATATTGTTTTAGGGGAGGCGGGTTTTTTACGCAATTTTAACCGGAGAGATTTAATTTTGTTGGATTTTTTTTCCCCGGCCAATGTCTGGTAATTACCGGACAATGGAAACCATGGTTTGGCCACAGTTTTTGTAACCTTCATTTCAGGTAGACTTTACAGAGATCTGGACTCTTGCATTGACAATACAAGATATTGACCAAAAATGTATTCATCTCTTGATGGAATTAACATCTACTTACTTAATTTGGTCAAGATCTTGTATAGAGTCCAGGTCTTCTCCAGCAAATCCCAAACACTTTCAATGAATGTAAGATCTGGACTCAAAGGAGCAGATTCACGTCACATTCACCTCACAATCTGACATGATCATCCTGGAATATGGCCATGATGTGTCTTCTTACACTGTTTAAGAAATGAAAAGCTACACACTTAGGGTCAGAACTGATGCCAAACATATAACATGCTAAAAACACAATCACTGCAATAATGATCCAATCATTGACTCTTAAGCAACTTATTTTTTTAAGTCAATTTTTCTACACATTAAGTAATAATAAAGTTTTGTTTGATGGTGATTTTGCGTATATAAACTCATTCTGATTATGGTGAAGATAAAGCCTTTTTTTGTTGTTTTATTGGCAGCACATCCATGGCACAAGCGCCCGTCGCATTTTACCTTGTTGGGCTAAAAACACTTTCAAGTGTTTAAAAAGTTGGCACATGTGCGGTAAGTCACCTTTTAAAAGCGTTTTCGACTGACATTAGAAATAGTGTGAAAGGGTCTCCATTGCTTTTCTGTATTACATCATCAGGGTCAATTTAATAATGAAAAGTACCACAATAGTAGTCCGTTGTGGTCTTCTGAAGCTGATGGATTTGTGTGAGGAACAGACCAAAGGTTAGATTTAAGTATGGCACCTTTGGACGTCACACCACGGTTTAATGTCATTGGTTCCCATGGGTGTTGTAACCGGAGACTGACATTTGAGAGCGGCAGCAGATGGAAAGATTCTCTTTTAATAAAAATCTTCCATTTCAGTCTCTTCATCACACAAAGCTACAGCTTCGGAAGATGCTTTTAACTCATTCTATGGACATGCTTAGTTTTATATGCGAGTCACACACAAAAAATGCATAAATAAAAACTGGGAAACACTTTACTTGAAGGGGTGTTCATAATCATGACATGACATATATTATGAATATGAAGTTTTATGCATGTTTGTGACAACTGTCATTAAGTGTCATTCGCTCAGTTATGACATTTGTAATGCAAATATGACATTGTTTGAGATGTCTTTGTTATGACTAGGGTTGGGTATCGTTTGAATTTGAACGATTCTGATTCTGATTCCGATTCCTTGTTTCGATTCCGGTTCCTAACGATTCTCGATTCCGATTCTTTTAAGAGGCAGGGTCAAAAAAGTTTAGCTAACCTTGTTAACCAACGGCCTTTCTGAAGGAAATACTCCTTCTGTAAAAATACTCCTTTTGTCACAAATTTTGCATTTTGCCGAGATTTAGTTATTTTTAGAAAAGTGAAGCCACACTTTGGACCGCCGACGTAAGCTACTCATGTTCGACTCGCATGGTTATGCCAACACTTCCGGTAGACGCTTCTTCGTTGGTGTTGTTCAGCGGTTTCTTCTTCCGCTCGGCGGACTGTGAATATCGAAACTAGGAATCGAAATTTTAACTTTTGAACGATTCCGGGAAAAACGAAAAGTTAGTCTCGGTTCCAATCGATACTCGATTCTCGATACCCAACCCTAGTTATGACACCTTGACATTACTAAGACAACACAACCTGTTATAAACATGACATAGCAGATTAATGATTAAATTTAAGAAACCACCTAGCTTTATGGGTTAACATTACATTAAACTGTCATGATGAAGACATTATAACTTTTTAATGACAAATTCAATTAGTACCACTGTAGTTGAGCTCACGAAAAATATTCATGACACACTTATAATGCCTCATAACAGCCAATGTCAAAGCCAACCACATGACAGATTAACTTCATTTAATGTCAAGTAGTAATTTTATGTCAATGACAGTTGTCATAAATATGTCATGTCATGGTTATGAAGGTGTCCCCTTCAAGTAAAGTGCTACCAAAAACTGGAGGGTGAGTAAATAATGATGGAATTGTCCGTTTTTGGGTGAACTAAACAAAAGGTTAATGACAATGGCCTCTACATTCATTTATATTGTGTCTATTATGCATTCTGACCAGATGAGTAACAATTCAGCTCTGGCCTTGGGCTGTAATGGGAGGTGTTCGGTCATATTGATCAGAGGTAAGTGTTAAGGCAGACTGACGACACACTGGATCATGGCCTGCGTGTTCCTGTTGTCTGTTGTTTGACTAATTAGCAGCAATCATAGCAGCAACAACAGCAGCAGCCATGCTAAAGGAACCGACTCATCCTCACCTCATCTCGGCACGGATCTATCCGAGTGCATTTTAAATAATTATTTCATAAATAGCGCGCGACGGGACCCGCGTGCAGCCGCTTCCCGTTGCGCGTTTATATTTGATGGGTTTGGGATGGTTTCACTGTAGGAACATCAAAAGAATCAGTGATTAGTCTTCTTTCCAGCCAACCGGGACCAAGTCCGCTTCACGAGGGACCTTTTGAGATGACGCTTTTTTCCAAAGCCAGTCCTGGTTCGCTTGCTTTTGCGGGGGGTGATGTTGAGCGAGTCGTGAGTGATCAAACCAGCTTCAGTCCTTTTTTTGGGGTCATGGCATTGGGATCCTTTTCCAAACGTATTGTATTGTATTGTAAGAGATAGCAGGTAGACTTGGACTTGGAAAGGATGAACAGCTATAAGAGGAGAGAGGTACAACTGTGAAGCAGCAGCATTTCTGGGAAGAACATCGAATCCTTTCCCAGTCCGCGTTTCAACCGAGTGAGTGCAAGTGCTCGCCCTTCCGGTTCTCCAAGGCGTTGGGGTCCCGGCAAGCGCACTCTTTTCGGGTGTCACAAGACATGGGGAACGGAATCACCTTGAAGGAGAAAAGAAAAACACATGTTGGTCAAGACAAAATGGATGAGACCCTTGGAGGGATTGAAAATAGAAATTGAATGGCATTTGACGTCACAATTGAATGTTGGCAGTGCGTCAGTGACACCAGCTGCTGTGGTGCGTCTCCCTCGAGGCAGGCCTCAGATGCTTTTCGGGATAAACTGCATCTCCATTCGCTCAAAACTAGGACCATATGTGCACATTCACTTAACCATTTGTCTTAGAGGCCGAGAAGACGGATTTGTTTATGACGTGAACTCGTATGCTGATGTATCTTGGAGCGCGACAACCCATAGCATCGATTATGGAGTAACATCATGTCTGTTTGTAGCAGTTTCGGATTTCACACTGCGTGACTGTAAACCATTGGTAGGTTGAAATGTAGTTCATTGTGATTGTGATGATAATGCAATTATGCTCAGAATTGGAGTAAAGATATGTGGAGTAGTGCAATTTTAATTGCATTATAAATTAGCTTAAAGCTTCCTGTAAGAAAAACGTAGTCCATCATATTGTGCAAAACTGAACTCCATCAATGCTACAGTAAAATTAAAGGGGTCTTATTGTGCCCTTGTACAAAGTCTTGAATTTTCCTAGAATATATGTTTTCATGCTTGAATGTTCAAAAAACGCATTATTTTTCACATATTTCACATTATTGTGTGGTTGACGGACCGTTTATCAGTTTGGACCAATGCAGCACGAGCTGATCTTAATCAAGCAGCACTGTTCCCAGATAGCAAACTGACATTGAATCAACGTGGAAACATGACATCGAAACAACGTTGATCTGACATTGTTTTGCTCATCGAATTAACGTTGAACCAACGTCAGACGCGTCTTTCTTTTAAAAACTAACGGAAAATCAACTTGAAATCAACGCGTTGTTTCAACGTTATGAAAGCAAACCAATTTTCGATTTTCATTTAGCTTTGAAGAATGCCGCCTCTGACGTTGGTTCAACGTTAATTCGATGAGCAAAATCAACGTTCATTAAACGGATCAAACCGTGCTGACGTGGAAACCAGGAAGAAACATTGTGCCATGAATGAACTATCCAGTGTCCACAGATCAGCAACATTCACCATGGTTTTACTGTTGTAACACTAACTGTTACCATGGAGATTTGGCAGGAATAGTAGGCCTAGGCTATAATGCTTTCAAGTAACATCACGTCGGTTTTATTTTGACATTATGAATACAATTGCTGCCCTCAATTGTTAATCTGAACTAAAATAAACCTCTGTTTATTACTACTACAATATTACAATTCATTTTGTCCAAGGAGCTGTTTTGTTTTATATGCTCCTGAGAAAAGTCAAGTATAGCTCCATCGTTGCTCAAAAATATCATACTTTATGATGTTAGTTTTAATAAAAATATAATAATAAAAAACCGTACTGAACCAAACCGAACCGTGACACAAGTGTATCGTATCGAACCGAACCGTGACACAAGTGTATCGTGTCGAACTGAACCGTGACACAAATGTATCGTATCGAACCACGACGCAAGTGTATCGTATCGAACCGAACCACGACACACGTGTATCATATTGAAACGAACTGTGACACAAGTGTATCGTATCGAACCGAACTATGACACAAGTGTATCGTATCGTATCGAACCGAACCGTGACACAAGTGTATCGTATCGAACCGAACCGCGACACAAATGTATCGTATCGAACCACGACACAAGTGTATCGTATCGAACCACGACACAAGTGTATCGTATCGAACCGAACTGTGACACAAGTGTATCGTATCGTATCGAACCGAACCGTGACACAAGTGTATCGTGTCGAACTGAACCGTGACACAAATGTATCGTATCGAACCACGACGCAAGTGTATCGTATCGAACCGAACCACGACACACGTGTATCATATTGAAACGAACTGTGACACAAGTGTATCGTATCGAACCGAACTGTGACACAAGTGTATCGTATCGTATTGAACCGAACCGTGACACAAGTGTATCGTATCGTACCGCGACACAAGTCTATCGTATCAAACCGAACCATGACACAAGTGTATCATATCGAACCGAACCGTGACACAAGTGTATTATCGAACCGAACCGTGACACAAGTGTATCGTATCGAACCGAACCGTGACACAAAAGTATCGTATCGAACCGAACCGCGACACAAGTGTATCGTATCGAACCGAACCTTGACACTAGTGTATCGTATCGAACCGAACCGCGACATAAATGTATCGTATCGAACCGAACCGCGACACAAGTGTATCGTATCGAACCGAACCATGACACAAGTGTATCGTATCGAACTGAACCGCGACACAAGTGTATCGTATCGAACTGAACCGCGACACACAAGTGTATCGTATCGAACCGAACCGTGACACAAGTGTATCGAACCGAACCGTGACACAAGTGTATCGTATCGAACCGAACCGTGACACACACAAGTGTATCGTATCGAACCGAACTGAACCGAACCGACACACAAGTGTATCGTATCGAACCGAACCGTGACACAAGTGTATCGTATCGAACTGAACCGCGACACACAAGTGTATCGTATCGAACCGAACCGTGACACAAGTGTATCGTATCGAACCGAACCGCGACACAAGTGTATCGTATCAGATCCAGATAGAACCGTGACACAAGTGTATCGTATCAGACCGAACCGTGACACAAGTGTATCGTATCGAACTGAACCGCCACACACAAGTGTATCGTATCGAACTGAACCGCGACACACAAGTGTATCGTATCGAACCGAACCGCGACACAAGTGTATCGTATCAGACCGAACCGTGACACAAGTGTATCGCATCGAACCGAACCGTGAATTTTGTGAACCGTTACATCCCTACTTGAGACATTTCTTTTTAATCTTCAAATTGTCAAGTTTAAGCTTTTCTTCTTAAATGTATAGTTTAAAATATTATTTCAGTTAAAGAAAACAACTTTTAATAAGGATATTAAGATACATCTACTGGAAAACAAGACACAAGTACTGATGAAGAAAACGAAGTGCGTAGTGTGAGAGCGCAGCGATCCAGACGGAAACGGCATGTATGACTAAGTAATGAAAACAAAACATGTTTGTGTGTGCAGCACTTAGTGAAGCTTTTACAAGCTTGAACCGGACACACATCCAAACCAGCCGTCATTGCCCTGCATGGCATTTCCTGTCCAGCCGTGTGCCTTCCCTCACGTTCCAACACATTCAGATTGGCTTTTGCTAACCTTGCTGAAAAAACACCCTGAGGTCGTTTACTGGCCAGGATGGGAAACCAGCTGACAAGTGCGTCGAACCCCATCAAACAGATAATAAAGGTACAGTGCAGTTGTTTTCATAACTTCTTTTTCAATCTTCCCTCCCTTCTCACGACACACAACCTTCCCCAGTTCTGGTTTCGCACCCTCTCTTTATCTCACCATCAGAGTAAGATGTGGGTGGCAAATTTAACATGGTTTCCTTTGCCCTTGACCCAAGGGTGGCTGGACCAGCTGCCACATCTGGGGCTCATCGATGGTGGCTGGGAATGTCAGCATGGGGCAGAGGCCAGTGCAGAACACACACACACACACACACACGTCACGGCGCACAGGGCTCCTGGCAGAACGCACGTATGTGTCAGACTGCAGCTGAAGGGGGCTGGGGATCGGGGCGCAGACGGAGAGCTTCAAAACAGACCAGAATAATGTTGGTCTGCACTGTGGCTCAGCCGCGTACGTCACGACATTTGCAAGACCATGATTTATTACATTCAAAACTGAGAGAGAATTTGAATGGCATCTGTTTATTGTTTGAGAAACAACGATAGTTTGTTATCGCACGATTATTAATCTATTTTACGAAAGGAGAAATAATAGTTTCACTCTGCTTGCACTGTACACTCAGAGAATGATTATTGTTGTTAACTAAAACCATAAAAAATAAACAAATCTTTATTTGAAACAAAAAACTTTTTTTTTACTTAAAGGAGTAGTTTTGCTGATAATTTACTCGCCCCAATGTCATCCAAGATTTCCATGTTTTTCTTTTTTCAGTCGAAAAGAAATGAAGGTTTTTGATGAAAACATTCCAGGATTTTCTCCATATAATGGACTTCAATGGGAACCAAACAGTTCAAGGTTTGCAGTTCAAACTGCAAACTTTTCAAAGGGCTTTAAACGATTCCAGACAATGAATAAGGGTCTTATCTAGCGAAACGATTGCTCATTAAAAAAAAATAAATAACAAAGTTTAAGTTTTATAAGCTCAAATGGTCGCCTTCCTCTGTTCTGGGATGCGCGTTCGTGACTCTCCTGTTCGAACTCGTTTATCAAATGAACGAGTTGACTCGGGAAAAGATTCGAACAGAAGAGTCACAAACGCTCATCACAGAACAGAGCAAGGCGAGCATTTGAGCTTATAAAACGTATTTATTTATTTATTAAATGATCGATCGTTTCGCTTGATAAGACCCTTATTCATTGTCTGGAATCGTTTAAAGCCCTTTGAACAGTTTGCACTGAAACTGTCTTTTGGACCTTGAACCGTTTGGTTCCCATTGAAGTCCATTAAATGGAGAAAAATCCTGGAATGTTTTCATCAAAAACCTTAATTTCTTTTCGACTGAAGAAAGAAAGACATGGACATCTTGGATGACATGAAGGTGAGTAAATTATCAGCAAAAGTTTTTTTTTTTTTTTTTAAAGTGAGCTACTCCTTTAAGACTTAATTTATTATTTACTAGCTTTATTGCAAATCTAACAATGAGTCTAATTTCTAACATTAGTTATGAACTGACTATGAGCAATATATTATTACAGCATACTGTATGTTGCACTTTGTTATTGTTAATTTATAAAAATAGTTAGTTCACATTGCATTAACTAATGTTAAGTTATCTTAAACGCACACGTCACAACACATTCTTTAGTGATGGTTTGAATTGCTACATGGCCTGTACGGTCACAATTAAGCTGATGCTAAGCTGGAAATTTGATTAT